AAGGGAATGGCATGGGTGGTTGGGGTCTCTCAGGATTAGGTACACCATTATGAGATCGCCCCTTAGATGCCGATAACTTCCACTGTAGATTTTAAGGGTCTTCAGCCTGAGTGCGTAGGGGAGGCTGGTCAAATCTCTGACGCTCTTCGTTGCCCTACGTTGTGCAGTATCGAGCGCGGTGAGATGGTGCTTGAGCCAGGGTTGCCACGCTTGGATAGCGTATTCCGCGTGCGGCCTCACGTACGCACTAAGCATTTTTGGAAAGACTGAAGGGTCAAACTTCCCGAAAGCTCTGCAAAGAAGGCCGAGGTACTGGTTTGCTTCCTTAGCTGCCTTCTCAGTCTGTCTTAAACAACCGAGGTCATCTTGAACTATCACACCGAGATCGCACTCGTGAGAAGCCTGCTGTAGAATTTGTGGTCCTAGGCAGTACTTGTGCGTACTCTTGTGCAGTATGCTGAGAACCTTGCACTTGGTGACGTTGAAATGCAGCATGTGTTCGATGGACCATGTGTACGCTTTCTCCAGGTCCTCCTGTAAGATTGTGTGATCCTCCACTGCAGCTACAGTGCGCCATACCTTTAGGTCATCAACAAATAGCAAACTGTTAGAAGCTAACACACTCGCGAGATTATTTATGAAAACTAGGAACAGGCGGGGTCCAAGTACCGAGCCCTGAGGTACGCCGCACTGAACTTCGGTGGATTCCGACAGGTTGCTTCTAACCCGCACATTCAGGTGACGTTGAACGAGAAAGTCTCCTATTCAGCCCAGAAAAGGATCGCCGATTCCATATTTCTGGAGTTCGCGGAGTAGAATGTGATGCTCTAGACGGTAGAATGCCTTTGAGAAATCCAGGTAGGCCTCGACGACTCCTGCACCAACGTCCACAGATTCCGTCCAGTTTGCACGAGCAATCAAGAGACTAGTGGTACAGGAGCGATTTCTGCGAAATCCATGCTGTTCCGGAACGAGAATTTTGTTGTTCTCCAGGTATCCCATTAAAGCCTCAGCTACAATGGACTCCATAGCCTTGGAGATGACAGGAAGTAGTGTTATGGGGCGATAATTTTCTGTGTCAGCACGACTGCCACTTTTGTAGATTGGCGTGATGATTCCGTGCTTCCACATCGTGGGGACGTGCATCTTGTTCAGACATCATTGAATGAAAATTGTTAATGGTGCCACCAAACTCATGGCAGCAACTTTCAACAACTTCGGGCGAATGCCGTCCACACCCGGGGAGCTGAACTTGCGCAGAGACATCAGCCTCTTCAGTACAACTGCGGAGGTGAACGATATGTGATTAAGCCCTGATGGCGGCGTTATCTGCTTAGGCAGGATGTATGATGATTGAAGGCTTTGGAAGGTACGGCTAAATTGTCGTCCATGTATGTTGGCCGCCTCTTGTGCGGTTTGGGCTAACCCGCAAGCTGTGTGCAGAGCAGGAATACCGCACTTAACACGGCGCAAATTGTTTACGTGTCTGTATAGCAGTTTGGGATTGGAGCAAAACTTTTCCACTAGACCTTGTTGGTTCTTCAGTTTATCCTCCCGGACGAGTTTGACACAGTGGTTCCTTTGTATTGTGTAGGCATCCCAGGTATTGTCGTTCGGGGAGGCTATGTAAGTGTTCCACGCCAAGTCCCTTAATGCCATGCATTCACGTGTCCTGCTCCTTACGAAAGACTTCATCCTTTTAGCCCGTAGAGTTTGGTTTCAGATGTCCTTGCCACGAGCATGGTAAATATGTTGACGAATTCTCCGCAGGCCACCTCAGGGGTTAATTCAGCTAAGAACGACCAGCTGGTTGCGTCAATGATGTCGGACAGGTCGTCATAGTTGGTTACGACATGATATCCCTCGACATGCTCTTTAGGATAATCCGCGTAGTACATGTAATGCAACACTAGCGTCGCATAATCACTGCGGCCCAAAGGAGTATTTGTTATCACTCTCTCGACCATCAATTCTTCATTGGTGAATATTCGGTCCAAGATGGATGGCCTGTCAGTTCCCCTGAACCTGGTGGGCGTAGTGACGTGACCATAAAGCGGGAAGTCTGAAACCAGATCTTGCAAATCTGCTTTGAGTTGCTCTCCTGGCATGGCCTGGGATTCGAGAGCATGTAAGTTGAAGTCACCGGTGACTATAATGTGACTGTATTTCCTGTTTATCACTTGCCTCAACGCAGCTAAGAAATTGCAGTCCATCTCAGGAGTAGACGATGGTGTTATCAGTGAATCACACAATGAATTATATGAACAAAAGGGAGAAAACTTTTTAGATGTGCAATGAATTCTCTCTATCTTTCGACCACTTCGGTAGCATCACCTGTTGCAACTGCAACTATGTTTTGCATTGTGATGGATTTTTCAGGCAGACAGTCATTGAGTATCTGTAATATAGACGGGGCCCATTGTATGAGTTTTATATGTCCTGGCAAGCAACATCTCTTTCATTAATCCATTATCATTGAAGAATCGAACATATGTTCCGAGAAGTGTCGTTCTCAGATAAAGTAGTTAAAGCTACACGTAACAAAAATTTTCAGGACTGTAGTAAGGTATCTAAGGTACTTTCTATGTCCTGAGGCCTATCATCTATTGCCATAGATAAAGTTGAGTTACTGAGCAGAATGGCTTAAACTGCTTCTTGTAGATTCCTTTACATCATGTCCGACAGTATTATTGATAATGAAGTCAAGATAATATTTGCTCTTAGATTATGTGGACTGCAATTTTTGGCGGTCAATTTGCTGATTTAATAGTCGTCGTAAGTCCAGTTACCATTTCGCCCTGTCAGAAACCATTTTCTTTAAACGTGGTATGTTTCCGAAGCTATACCGCAGCTTAAAAAATCCAGACATTTCGCCTTCGCCCTTACCAACGCTTTCCAAATGAGTTTTTAGTTTATGTGGCCACACGGTTTCATTTGAAAGAGTGTTTTGGCAAATTAAACACATAGGTATAGTAGGGTGTTGAAGTGATGCGATAAATCCAAGTGGCAGGTATTCTATAGAGTACTGACTACACTTCTTTGCCGAAAAGGTTATTGCTGAAATATGTCATTAGGATTAGTTACTATATCTACATGGTTGGCGGCATCCGGTTTCGGATTTGCCTGTCACTGTGGCCAGCCACAGGACGCCTGCGCCTACAGAGGGGCCATGGATGGCTTGCGCTGCGCCACCCACAGCTCCAACCGCACACCCCATATCCAGTGTAAACCCGAAGGAATAAGACCGGGAGGCATGTGGATGGGAGCCACGTTTCATCAACGGAGCCGGCCCACTCTCCTTCACAGGCAAACACAAGGGGGCTACCCTGTCCTCTGCACGGCAGTAACGTGTAAGTCAGTGGATAGTGAGCGGCGCTATATCACATCTAGTAGCTTATTCACGATGGTCGTTGCCGTCCCCCGTAGCTCAGTGGTCTCAACCACGGACTGGCAACAGTCGAGTTGCGGTTTCGAGCCCTACCAAGGGTCCGATGGAATGCGCACTGCTGATGATTCCCGAAAGGATGAAACGCGCGTACAGTGCTTTTCCGGGCTTGTGACGGCTGTCTGAGTGAGCCTAGATGTGACGAAATTCTACCTATACCATTCAACTCCCCCTACTGCTCTTCTGTAACAAGCACACTGTATTTGGGGAATCAAACGCACACAAGGCGGTGGCTGGACCGTAATCCGCTCCACATTGACTGCATGGAACCACTCTTCGAGCCTAGCAAGGCCACAAGGACCGTGCACCTCCGTCCCCTCCAGCAACGACTAACTGTCTCCTGGAGCCAGTATGAACGAGGTAGTGGGTAATAGACAGGCGACAAGGCGAGAAATGCAGGTAGTATGAGTACTTGGTGGCACTAAATTTCTTCTTGCCCAACCTTGAAATTATAAGAAAAGACGTTTGGCAAGCAGACTTGCAATATTTGTTTGTAGCTACAATGTTGAAATACTTAAGTGTAGCAACACTGTTAGAGACCACACAGAGGTGGTTTCTGAGGGTGGCTTCGAAATATAGTGGATGGCTACAATGACACAAGCAAACTTTTTGACAAAAACCAATGAAGCTAATAAATGGGACTCAGAAAATGGCAATACTCATTAGATAACGTAGATCACAGAAACGTTGTAACAAGCAGTGGTAATAAGTAAACTGAGGCACAGAAGAGACAAACACGGAAGAAAATGCCGGATAGTCCAAGAAACCTGCAAGGGAGTCAACAACGAAGCGAAACATGGCGCCAAATGCGTGCTGGCAAGGCAGTTGATTATCATAAGCATAAGGAGAAGTGTCCTTAGGTGTACCTTATGTTAGATACACTCGCCAAAGCAACCGGATGTCTTCATGTAAGCTAGTACCCCACGCGCGCAGAGTAACAACTCGAATTCGGAACCTTGCGGGTTCAATGGTGTATGATGGGATAAAAAGCATAACTTTACAAGACCCACAGGATTGATATGCAAAAGAAACTTAAGATCAAAATGTTCCAACGCGGAACGTGAAGTATCAGTGGTTAAATCATTGCACTTTAACAAAGTGTTGTGTATCGTTTATCACTAAGATGAAAGTCTAAGAGTCTTTCGAATGTCGTCATGTCTGGTGCATTCACCAAATACCTTGGTCATAGTGAGAACAGATTCTAAGATTCTAAGATTGCGTACCGACAAACTGTTGAGTTGACCAGGCTACTTTCGAAATAGGACCTCTAAAATGATTCATGCGCGCTTCCCCTGCTTCAATCATCCAGGCTGGAAATTTCACAACACTACACTTTCTCATCATTCCGCTATCCAAATGCCTCCACCCTTCATCACAACCACTTTTGAAATGTAAATCTGCTACCTCATGTCTTCATCTTTCTCGTCATCAATGCTGTGCATTTCTCCGCTCACAGGACGCTCAGGCATCTCTCGTAAGAAAGAAACATGAAGCGTGCGTGGCGATACGAGCGCTGACTAACCGATTGCGGTGCATGTACGCTTGCCTACCTGTGATGCTTTCTCACGCCTTTCCTGCGGTCTCAGACCCCGCCAACTCGGAAATCTGGCCTGGGGAAAATATTTCCACGATGTTGGATTTCTGCATCCTCTTGGCTCCGTTGATTGCCGACGTGTGTTCCACTGGGGATTCTTACAAACGCGTTTCGCGCCGTCTGGACCTCGGTGCTTTTGGCCCGACTGGGTTCGCAAGAGCATCGACCGATCGTACTGGGGATGAACACATAGATGGGTTGGATTCCGGTCTGGCTTTGGTCCTTCACAAACTTTCCTTCATTTCTATCGCGGGCCATGGAAACCCTGAATCTGTTGCCAGTGCATGTTTGGCTATGACACGCCCATTCTTGACACATTCCTCTTGGAAGACACGGGGTATCGGGTTACTTCTGCTCCGAAATCTGGTTGTGATGAATTTGCCAGCGTTTTGGGAACTGAACACTTACAACAAGAATCCCGACGATAGAAATTACCGCGTCCATGATTCTATTATCCAATTGCGTGAACTGTTAGTCAGCCATTTGAATGACCACTGGATCGAGATTTGTCAATTGGCTATGTACACCATGGCAGTCTTCCTTCAAATTGGAATTCTTCAGGTGGGTAATCAACCTTTCGCAATTTTGCCTAGCGCCACTCAGTAGTTACCATTCGCATTGGTATGTTTGGATTGATTGATGCTTCTGTCAACACGTGATTTTGAAAATATCTTGCACCATTAAACTGTTTGTACTCAAAAGATCCTCCAGTCTATGCTCTCCCTTGAATGGAACTCAACCGAAAACTGCCGATTACGGATATGAATAAGTGACATGGGTTAAATAGTTCAAAAGTGTATGATGGGATAAGAAGCATAACTTTACAAGACCCACAGGATTGATACGCAAAAGAAAATTAAAATCAAAATGTTCCAACGCGGAACGTGAAGTATCAGTGGTTAAATCATTGTACTTTAACAAAGTGTTGTGTATCGTTTAGCACTAAGATGAAAGTCTAAGAGTCTTTCGAATGTCCTCATGTCTGGTGCGTTCACCACATAGTTTGGTAATGCATTCCAGTGAGAACAGATTCGTAATGAGTAAAAATACTTTCTACAATTCAGACGGGACTGCTGCGACATTAGTTTCAGGTGGTTGCCTCGGCTTTGTTTGTAAGGTGCTAGGGTCAACAGTGATGTACACGGATGCTCGCTTTCAGTTAGTATCCGGTATGTGAGAGTATGATCTCCGCGAAGCCGTCGGTATTCTAATGTGAACACACCGAGTACACGAAGACGCATTTCGTAACTTATACCGGGTAGTCCACGCTTTGCCTTTGTGGCTCTTCTTTTGGGTTGTTCCAATAGACGAATGTCTCGTTTTAACCATGGACAACGGGACCTGAATTGCATATTCAACGTGAGGGCAAAGATAGGATTTAATCAGCAATGGTACTAGCCGTCGCTCAAAGGGGCCGAGAGCTCGCCGCAAAAGTTTCAAGTTCAAGTTCGCCACACTTGTTTTAGAACATTGGAGCGAATTTCCAAGACTCTTGCACGATTATACCTAATTCGCGTTCACTAGTCACGTGTTGCATGACGTGTTACCCCAAAAGGTATGTGTTGTCAAAGCTACTGCGCACCGTCAGCAGGTGGCACTTTGCAGGGTTCAGCAGGAGGTGGTTCGCTTCTGCCCATTCGTTAATCCTGAAGATAGACACTGTCGGATGCACAGCGAATTGCTCTCCATATTTTAGCATAGTCTGAAAATACTTGCATCGGAGATAGAGTGTTTGTTGGAATGTCATTAATGTAGACTACAAACAGTAGCGGATCTGGAAAGAATCCTTGCGGTACACCACTGGAGACGCACAGGCTTTCAGAGTGAGTATCCGCTACTCTTACCCTGATTGCTCTGTCGTGTAAGTACTCTTCTAAGCAGGTGAGCAGGGAACCGTTGATACCGTAGGCAGAAAGCTTCTGAAGGAGAAAGAAGTGAAGAGGAAGTGGAATGTTTTAGAAAAATCCAAGTAAATCACATTTATGAGACACCTTTATCAGCCACCCTGGTCCATGAGTCCTGAGTAAGTAGCAAATTGGTGAGGCAAGGTCGTCTGCACTTGAAACCATGTGGGGTATTAGAAATTATTTGTAGACTTTCAAAGTATCTCGTCAGTTCATCTGCGATTACCGATTCCATAACTTTTGATAAAACAGGAAGGAGAGTAATAGGTCGGTAGTTAGCAGGATCCGAGCGCTTACCTCCTTTATATATTGGAGTGATAATTCCATTTTTCCACTCAGATGGGAGTGTATGGGTGTTAAGCAGACACTGGAAAAAGGTTGCAAGTGGTGTTGCTATGGTTGGAGTAAGGGTTTTTAGTACTTTTGGGCAGATCATGTCGATTCCAGGGGCACTGTACTCCCGGAGAGTGTGTAATTTGCTTGCAACAGCTGCTGCAGTAAGGGTGACGTTGCATAAGCCAATGACATTTGTTGGGAGTTGATAGGGCGAAGGTTCCATGGTATTTGTAGTTTCCGGGCCAAACTGCAAGAGTAGAGCGTCCGCGGTATCCACAGCAGTAGTTGTTAGGCCACTGGCCGTCTTGAGTGGTGGTATTACGGGCTTAATCTTACTTTTGCCACTCACAAATCTGTATAGTAGTTTGCTGTTACTCGTAAATTTCAGCACCATGGTCTCCTGCCATTTGCTGTAGAATCATCTAGCCAGTAGCACGTTTCGCTTCTGCGGGGGTGCATTAGCAAACGGGCCCATTATGTCGATGGCAATTTTTGCCCATGGCTTCATGGGGTACACGATAGGTTGGACTGGAGCATTCAGGGACCTCGCACTCTTATCGGATTGTTGACAGGCGTAACATTCCCGAATAACAGCCTCGACGCCGGAATTCAATTTCGGCCACCAATAGCATTGTCGTTTCCGAGCTTTAGGTCGCACAATCCCTGGGTGACCTTCATGCACACATGTAATCACCAGAGGAATAAGGGATACAGGGACAACAAACTGCTCGCCTCTAATAATGCAGTTGCTCACGGTAGAAAACTCGTGCTGTAGGGTATAGTATGGAAGTAACAGGTTGGATCTTGGTACGACTGAGCCATGAAGTGGATATGTACGCCTGAAGCTTCGCTAGGACAGGGTCTTTGTCAGTGTGCTGTCGTATCATGTCAAATGTTATTGTAGGTGTTCAGCCTGAGATCTGCGAAATCATTTTTATCTCCTCTAAGTCATCGTTTTCCCCTTCGTTGGACAGTGGGAGTCTCGACAAGGCATCTGCAAGTTGGTTAAAGCACCCTGGCACGTAGTTGATTTCATAATCATAGTTCAATCCACGTGGGTACCAGCGAATCAAGCGTACCGGCTTTTGGCCTTTGTTACCGCGATTTAGTAGCGTTGTAAGAGCAGAATGATCGATGTGTAAAGTGAATAGACGTACGAATAAGTAGAAGTGCCATTTTTCACATGCCCAGACGCATGCGAAGACCTCCTTCTCGCCGGTGGAATAATTTCTTTCAGTATCAGACAAGGTACGTGATATGTACGCAATCACTTGCTTCTCGCCATCGTGCAACTGGGACAGAACTGCACCCAAGCCAACATTTGAAGCATCAGTTGCAACAAACGTTGAACAGTGCGCACTGAAGATCGCTACCGTGGCAGTGAATTCAATCATCACTCGTATGTTTATGTAAGCATTGTCTTGTTCAGTGGCCCACCGAAATTCATGATTTTGGCGTGTCAACCTCCGTAACGGCTTGGCCATAGTCACAAAATTCGGTGAATATCGAAGGTAATAAGAGCACAAACCCAAGAAATGTTGCATCTGTGTAAGGTTGCATGGTTTTGGACACTCGAAAATTGCTCTGGTGTTCTGCACATTAGGCTTAATAACCGCGGTAGAAATAACATGTCCAATAAATTTGACATCCGTTACGGCGAATTGGCATTTGTTGGTATTCCGGCTGAGATTTAGTTCATTCAGTCTATGCGGCACATTATGAAGGTTTTCCTGATGTTCGGTGGGGTTACTACCAAAGACACAGATATCATCCATATGCACAACACCCTTTGAGGTCTGATAAGGATAGAGCAATAAATTTCTGTCAAGCTACTGTGGCACTAATAAGGCCCATTGGTAGGACTTTGTATTGATACAAACCGTCTTGCGTGAGGAAAGCAGTCAAATGTCGGCAATCTGGAGTCTGGGGCGTGTGGTGGTATGCACCACGAATATCCAGCTTTGAGAAAAGTTTAGCGTTTGATAGCCTAACCATCAACCATCGATATAAGACAGAGGGAATTTGTCCACAAGTATATGCCGATGAAACGCTCGAAGGTCCGTGCATACACGAATAAAGCCATCTTTCTTTTGAACGGCAACTAATGGTTGAACTCATTCAGAACACTGTATGGGCCTCTCAAGTATTCCGTGACCATATTTTTCAAAGCTTACGACAGTGCCGCTCGCTTGGCCAGAGGTACGGGTCTAGGTTGAGAAATGCTGAACGGTTTGTAATCCGCGCTCAACCGAATGCGGTGCATTGTTTTTGGGACTCTACCAATGTCCGGAAGAAAGAGATTTGGGTGACTGGAAGGTAATGAATGAAGGCTGACGTTGGTAATGGTCATCCGGCTGACGCATGGTGCTACGTTCACTAAGACCATGGCATTACGTCCCAGTAGAGTCTTACTATCAGTTGTAGAGACCTAAACTACAACTATACGCTTCCTGCTGTTGAAAAGAAACATTGAAATCGTATCAAAACCGAGTATGTGGACATCATTGGAGTAGCTGCTGAAAGTGTAAGCGGACGGGTGTATAGTTAGCTGACCAAAATGCTGTTTGTAAGAACAATATGGCACAACTGTGATTGGTGACGCAGAATCTAGTTTCATGTCTAGACAAGTGGTTTTGTTTCTGCCTTAACACACGACGAATATCTGGCGAAGGCAGTTTGGGTTCTTGAGTTGGAGACGAAAGTGCATGTTCACGTTCATTAACCGGTGAGCTGAGAAGCTCTAGAGTCATTTGCAGAATAAACTAAAGAAATGGTGCGGGAACAACATACCCGAGCAAAATGACCGGTCTTACCGCAATTTCGACAGATTTCACCCTTTGCAGGACATGACTTATCATTCGCACGATGTTCAGCATTTCCACAATGGTAAAACTTATTTCTAACTGGGGATCGTGTCAGAGAGTGTGTAGAAGCCAAACGGTCAATTTCAGTAACTTCTGTGTTAGAGAGGAAAATTTTGTTTTGTTCCGTGACTGTGACCTTTGCGCGAGCCACGTCACAGGTCCTGTCCCATGTGAGCATTTCTGCGTTCTCCATTAAGAGACTCTCTGATCCGAGAATCCGTGAGACCAGAAGTCAATTGTTCTATTAGCATGGTTTCTTCCACTTTTTTCTTGGGAATACTATTGTAGTCACACTTGTGAACAGAACAAACAAGATGGGAAATGAATGCATCCACTGATTCACTAGATGCTTGTTTCAGCTGCGAAAAATTGTACCGCGAAGTATAGGTGTTCACTCGAACATCACCAATGTTTATCGATGGCCAATAAGGCCTCTGTCAACATGGGTTTCTCCCACAAGTTTAGAGCATCAAATATACCTCGACCCTCTGATCCGTGTTGC